CGTCCTGGCGATCCTGCATCGTGCCAGAGCACCATTCCTGGGACCTCAAGACCGCGAATCAACGAGACTAAGGCGCTCTGTCAATCTTACTTCGTGCCGGACCATCATTCTCGGGACGTCCACTATAATAATCCGTTGGATTGTTGCTGACTTTTGATACGTATGCGCGTGGCGTTATTGCGAGAATCGCATCTTGAACGAGGGACTCCCTCCATACTTGAAGCTCCTGCACATGCTTAAAGACGAGTGTGCGCGGCGCTCAGGCGAGAACAGCATCTTGAAAACCACCTGGCCTTCATCCGTGGAGCGCTTGCGAACTTTGAAGACGAGTGTGCGCGGCGCGAATGCGAGAACCACGTCTTGCAGCCACCCGTCCTCCGTCCGTGAAGCTGTCAAGCCTGTAAAGCGAATGTGCGCTGCACCAAAGCGAGACCCGCCTTTTGAAAAACATCCGCCCTCCATCCGCGCAGCTCCCGCAAACGTTTGAGACACATGTGCGCGGGGCTCAAACGAGAGACGCACCGTGGAATGAAACCGCCCTCCATCCGTGAAGCTGTCGCAAATTCTGGGGACGAATGTGCGCAACGGTATGGCGGGAACCACATTTTGAAAACGAACCGCCCTCCGTCCGCCAAACTATCGCAGACTTTGAAAACGAATGTGCGCGGCACTCAAGCGAAAACCACGTTTTGAACAAGAACCACCCTCCATCCGTGAAATTCCTTCTAACTTTTGAAACAAATGTGCGCGACGCTAAAGCGAGAACCACATTAGCAAAAAGAACCGCCATCCATCCGTGAAAACCTTGCAATGCTTAAAAACAGATGTGCGCGGCGCTAGGGCAAAAAAACGCGTTCCGAAAAAGAACCCGCCCATCATCCGTGAAGTTCCTGCGAGCTTTGAAAGCGAAAATGCGCGGCGCTAAGGCGGGGAACCAATTTTGAAAACGGGCCGCCGTACATCCTCGAAGCTCTTGCGAACTGTTTATACAGAATGTGCGCAACGCCAAAATGAAAACCAAATGTTGGAAACATCCCACTCTCCACCCGTGAAGCTGCTGCACATTTTGGGCGCTTCAGGGTCGTAATCGGTGAGGAAGTCTCAGGCGCAACGCCCGGCCCGCCCTAAAGACACGTCTCGGGGTGCGACAAGGAGGAGTTATGTATAAGGCGAAAGGATGGAGGAGAATGAGGAGGGGGAGGAGGAGGAGGAGGAGGAGGAGGAGGAGGAGGAGGAGGAGGAGGAGGAGGAGGAGGAGGAGGAGGAGGATGGAGGAGGAGGAGGAGGGGAGGAGGAAGAAGAGGAGGAGGAGGAGGGAAAGGAGGAAAAGGAGGAGGAGGAGAAGGATGAAGAGGAGGAGGAAAAGGAGGAAAAGGAGGAGGAGGAGGAGGAGGAGGAGGAGGAGGAGGAGGAGGAGGAGGAGGAGGAGGAGGAGGAGGAGGAGGATGGCGCGAGGATGCCACAAATCTTCCCATCCACTCTTCCTTCCACGTTGCCTGGCTCCCCCGCCGTGGGGAGGGGGTTCCACTGGAATGCAATCATGCCAAAGAGAGGAACCAGGAGCAAGAAAAGCAACACGAGGAGGTGGAGGAGCGAACGACCCGAGGGTGGGTGCTTTCCCGACGGCCGCCTAGTCGCTGGCGGCGGGGCGCGCGCTCCCGCCTCTCAGGAGGTCCAGCGCTTTCTCGTCAGACTGGTAAGCGTACAGCTGCTCCTCGACGAGCACCCTCGTCGTGGCGGAGGACTTTTGGTGGTCGAGTGGGCGAGCTGGCTGCCCGCGGCCTGGTCGCCCTTCCTCTGCGGTGGGGGGGCCGTAATCTTGGTCCTCCGCCTTGGCGACGTTCATGTCAACGAGGACTGCAGGTGCACCATCGTCATTCTGTTTGGGAAGTTGCTCCGGCCCGTCGTTATGGGGTTATCGATCTGGCCAATCTGGTCGGCGTTGGTGATGGGCAGGCTACCAAATTGACCAAGTCCTGCCGAGGAGGGGGGGTGGGGGCTGAACCCCCAGATCCCCCTCCACTGTCGGCAGCGCAGCGCCACCCTCTGTGTTGCTGTCGAGCTGCTTGGCGGTCAGGCGGGAGGGTGCAGGAGACGCGTCAGCTTGTCCAGGCGGCAGGGGGACCATATTGTGGCGGTCCACTGGCAAGAGGAGGCACTTGGTCTAGCATAGGTACTCCATGTTCTGGTGCAGCGTGGCCAACATCGGCACAATGTAGTACATCGCTGTCAAGCAAATGTTCAGTTTGCGGGAAAGGAGTCCATCTTGCTATTGTCGGGGTCCACCTCCAGCTGCTGCGGTGCTGGTCAGGTTCGCGTCGGAAGAGCTCCCGTCGCAACTGAATAAGCAGGTGCCAGGCGGCGGTGATGGGAATGTAATGGGTTTGGTGCACGCGCGGAGCGTTTGGACGGCAGCCAGCAACGCAGCTTCGGTGTCAGGAGCCAGTCCCCCATGGTTGCGATTACCACTGCCTTGCAAGTAATCGCGCTCGGCTGTTGTATGCTGTTTGCTGCGGGGTCGCTTTGCTGGCAAGGGCCCCCCCGCGCTTCGTCCAGGGTGTAGACCGCGCAGCCGTGCTCGGCAAGCGTGGCCTCGAAGTCGACGGAGCCAGAGGAGGACGGCACAGGTGGCGTATCTGTGCCACCGATTGGGGTGGCTCCCAGCTTCATGGTGTTGATGCTGCTGTGAACGCGCAGGCTCCTGCTGTCCGCTATCCAGATGGGGCTGAGACGAGGCGGCCCCAAGGTGTGGTTGGAAATCATTAGGGTCTTTATCCATGGTGATGCTGGCTTCCTTCGCAATGTGGGTGAGGTAGTCCACGCCCATGTCGGGGGCGTCGTCGTGGTTGTCGAAGTGGTCGCCCGCCTCGCCGAAGTAGTACTTGAACTCCTCGTAAGACATCGCGTCGCCTTTGTACAAGGGGCTTCGCCCGTGATTTCAACCAGCTCCTCCGTGTGTGCTGTCTCGTGGTCGCCATCCATCATCCGTAGGTCTGCTTCTGTTGAGTTCGTGTAGTTGTTGTGGTCGGCGCTGGCGTCGTCCTCTTCGGGCGAATGCATTCGTAAAGCCGCCCCAAGAGAATCGTCATTCTCTTGGGCGTCTTGCTCTGCGCAGAGGTCGGCGAGTGGGTGAGGAAGTAAGCTTGATGCGGTGCCCTCAGGAGTGGAGGGGCCGATGGTTCGGCAAGCCTCGCGCGCATGTAGTCCGGGTGTTCGTCCCGCCGCAAGCATGGCGAAGGTGCTCGTAAGTTCTCGTCCGAAGTGCATGCATGCGACGGTGTTCGTTGTCGGGCCATGGGCCCCGCACGTGCTGCTGACGACGTTCGCGAGCAGTGGCTGAGCCGTGCCATCCTGCCATGCACATGTCCTATGCAAGCGCATCTCGCAGTCGTGAGTCCGAAGCCCCTTTGGGCCCGCGGTCCAGGTGCGAGCCCGCAGATGAGCTGGGACCCTCCGTGGCGGGGGATGTCCATGACATGGGCGATGCGCCAGTCCAGCCGCTGCTGGAAATGCGATCCGTCGGCGCGGATGTACATCGTCGGGGGCCAGCTCCGTGCCCGAATTGTCACTCGATCAATCAGTTCACGCTGTCGTTGCACGTGTCGGCCAAAGGTCGCAATGGCCGCCGCGGTCGGGTCGCTGTGGGGAACCTCGTGAAGATGGGGGGCATCCCGGGCCTGCCCGGCCTCGCAGCTGGCGCCGGGTGGGCGTCCCAGAGGATGTCTTCGGGCGCGGAGTCGACGGTGCAGGCTTCGTCGTGGTCGGTGCCGATCATATCGCCGTCCTTGCTTTGCTTGTTGGGGTCAGATGGGTTGGGGGCGTCGTAGCTCGGAGAAGGCAGCGGTGGCAGAGCGTCGGAGAGCGCTGCGATGCCATGCACATCGTCGTCAGAAGAGCTGCTTGCTGTGGAGTCTGGCAGGGGCGGGCGCCATGCAAATGCGACTCGAAGATGTTGTTGACTTCGGCGATCGCGTCGGTGTTCGGTATGCTCTGGCCACCATCCCACCGCCATGCGATGGCAAAGACCGCCGCTGTAGGGCGTGCTCTCGTCCTTCGGGTCGGTGCCGAGAGAGCTTTGAGCTTGAGGGCTCCTCTTGCAACCTCTTCGATCTCGGGAATGGGAGCCGGGTCTTTGGGCCGCAGGATGTTATAGGTCAGGTGATCGCGCGCTAGAGGGTCGAGGCTTCCCTCGCTGGGTCCCCAAATCCCCCGCCGTAGGAACGGGCCACCATCCAGAAAGATGCGTCCGCCAGATCGAGCCGTCGCCAGTCCATACATAAGACTCCAGCAAGTAAGTGGTGGGGCGTATCGTCGGCACTGTCCTCGCAGACGAAGATGCAGGGTCGCTTGCCGTCGGTGTAAAGTGTCCGGCATGATGTGAGCCACCCGCCCACCAGTGACCACAGTCGGGCATGCGGCCGCGTGGGAGGCATGGGATGCAGTGACTGCTGGGTGCGCCGCCGAGGTGCGCGCGTCGAATGTCGTCGCTGTGGTGCGGGAACCACGCGGTCCAGCGCTCGATGAAGAGGGGGGTGGCGATGGCCTGCCGCATCAGAGGGCGACGTGATATGGCCCGCAACTCCCGTCGATGCCAGTCGAAGGTCGGGATATCGTAATCGACCTTCTGGTACTTTCGCATGGAGCTCGCGGCCTCGATGAGGAGTCTGGATCGCAGCTGTGGCGTTCGCGGTGCCGACATGCGGCCTGTAGTCGAAGATGCGTGGTGGCAATGGCCTGTAGTCCAGCGCGCTGGCCCAAGGCAGGATGAATGATCGGCATGCGCGCGCTCCTCTATCCACCTGCTGGCCGCCGAGACGACGCGATTCAAGAGTTGCGTCGCTCTCGGGTGGGTGATCGGCGCGGAGCGAGCGGGGGCCGCTTGAGCCACGCGCCGCGCGGAGAGGAGCTTCGGCCCTCACCGCTCGTGCAGAAAGCAATAGTCGACAAGCCTGAAGGTCCCTCCCGCGTGCCTGCATATCATGACCAGAAAGGGGAATGTCCTCAGAGGCGAAGCGGGCGGTCGGCGGCGCGAGCGGGGCGACGTAGCTGGCGGTCGAGACAGAGCGGGTGTTGTAGGGCCATGCGTTTGTGCTCATGGGTGCAGCCGCTGCTGCTTGTACTGCCGCGCGGTGCTTGAACTTCCGCCGCGGCGCTCTCCAATTGAGGGCGAGGTCGGCCGACGGGCCCGACCATAGGCCAATGTAGAGCAGGTTCCCGACCGCCGCGAAGTTCCAAGCAAGCGTCGGCTGTTGTATGGCGTCGCTGACCTTCGCCTCTAACTGGTGGTCGAATGGCCCCATCGAGCGGGGCTGCCTTGCATTTGGCCGTCTCTAAGTGCAACGTGGCATGCTGGGCCGCCATGTTCAGTGTCGTCTCGCGCTTCGGAAAGCCGCTTGGGGAGTAGAGGGCCCCGCCGATGTCGTCCGCGCGAGCCCTGAACGTGCCTGGCGTGGCGGTCTCGAAGTGCGCTTCCAGAGAGACGATGGTGGGGGTGGTGGCCAGCGCGTGCAGGGTCCCGGAGAGGGCGCGGGCCTGGATGATATCTCTGGTGATCGTGAATGAGGCAATCGGTGTCCCGTCCGCAGCGGCCTTGGCCGTGGCGGAGGGGTGCAGGTTGCGTGCAGCAAGGAACTCCGCGGGAACCGAAAGCTCAACGAGAACGAACACAAGAAACTCCTGCAAGAGGCTCGGGGGGTCCTGGCCAATGTCCAATGCAACCAGGGGCGGGTGGTTGTCGTGCGAGCCTGGCATGAGGCTAGCGACGCGGGCCTCCGCGTCCAGCTCCAGAACATTGTCCGTGAAGCGCCTGCCAAGGGCGAAGCCCCTCTGCGAGGCGGGGACTCGGGCTGTGGTGAGGGGGTTGATGGCCGATTTCAGCGTTACTGTGATGAGCTTCACGTCTGTGAGTTGCGGGGCCCGAACGTGCGCGCTTGGGTCGTGCTTCGTGTAGATCGCCATCGGCACTCGCACCTTTCGGTGAGAACGCCTGCTTGGTGTCGCCCGAGCAGCGGAGGAGACGCTAACCACTCATCAGCCAGATTGCCGTTCCCACAGGACCTGTGAACATTGAAGGATAATGTCCCAGGCGCGGTAGGGTAGCCCATCAGCGCCAGGAGCAGAAACTACTGCGGCCATGCGGCGGACCGTCTTGACCCTGTGTTCCGCGTTCGGTGGTGGAAGCTCCAGGTCGACGAGGGCGCTCATGCGCTGGCTGATGCAGCGCCATGCTGCGTCGTGGCCGATGTCGCACTTGGTGAAGATCGGCGCCCAGTATCGCGTGAGGGCCTGGAGCTGGTCGTGTTGTTGGTGGTGGGCATGCCCCCCCTTGCGGACTCCCCTCAGGGCCATCCTCTTGCCGGAGGGCATTCAAAAGTGCGCCCGCCTCTCGGGCGCTGCCACGCGTCCTCCCTGTCCTTTCTTCCCGTGGGCTTTTGGCGTTCTCGACCTGGATCGCGGACGCGTCCTTCTCGGCGGTGTGACAATGGATCTGTTCGGTCAAGCTGTGGAATCGCTCGGGGCGGGTGATGGTGACAATGTTGTTGGCCGCCGCCGGGCAGGCGGCAGCTTCCGGAGATGGGCGCATGATGCGCTGGGCCAGCTTGGCGTTGTTGCGCCGGACCGCCCGCGCGGCTTGTCTGACAAGGGTGAGCTGAGCAATCGCGTCGTCGACTTCGGTCGCGACAATTTTCTTCATTGCTAGAAAGAGGCTGCCTGGCTCGACCATCGGCTCCCTGATCCGCGGTAGCTTGAGGGGGGCTTCTCCGCGAGCGCGTGCCCCTCGTGCTTGATGATCCTTTCCAGCGTCGCGGCGTAGTCGGGCCTGCTGTAGATCTCCGCAAAAAGAATCAACTCGGAGTGAGGTCGCGGCAACCGGTGTTTGAGGGCTGCGTGGTCCGAGACGCCGCGGTCGCGTGGCTGCTGGGGGGTACTGACCATCGCGCCTCTGATGCTCATCGGGTTGATGACTCATGCGGGTGTCGACGTCTAAATCCTGCCGAGACTTGACAAGTTGCCGGTGTCCTTGCAAAAGCAGGCCGGGTCGTCCGGTGCGAGCTCCATTAGCTTGTCTAGGACCCGTCTCCGCCGAGTGACATGGCACTTATTGCCATTGTGCTTTTTGTCGGGGGAGCTGTCGGGCTGGCTGTCGGAGATCGAGATGGGTGAATACCGCGATGTTCATATCACCTGCGATGATGGGCAGCCTCCTGCCGGGCGCCGCTTGCGCCCGGTCAAAGTCGGTAGCCGGGGCCCTCGTTATGGCGAGGATCTGGCGCAGAGAGATGTCGTGGTTGTGGGTTTGCGATGGCGGAGCTCCGCGCCCCCCACTTCGACGCAGACCTTCAGCGCGCGGCCCTTGGTAGAGGACGGCCCTTGCCAAGCTGGCAGCAACTGAGAGCGGCGTGACTATGGCGACGCCGCCCTTCTGGTGCCTATCCGCCAGGTTGAAGGAGGAGACGAAAACCTTCGAGTGTGGAGCAGTCCCGTTCATGAGAGCCTCGATATGCTGCTCGCTCTGGTGGGCCTCCTGGACAGCGACGAAGGTGCGAGGTAGATCGCACTGCCGTGAGTAGACAGCTTGCTCGAGCTCCATCTTCCCTCTCCATCGCAGCAGCGCGCGAGCGTTCCAGGTGGCGAACGAGATGCCTTCCTGATTATGGTTGTCGCTGTCGAGCCGAGGTAGACCGCGTGCTGCAAGTGGAGGAATCTGTCAAGTACTCTACTCTGGTTGGGCGTCTGGGCACGCGATGGGGTGGATGGGGTGGGGGATCTGGTCACGTCTGCGCCGCTGCTCGTCGGGGCCCTTGGAGTTCCAGAGTACGGTGGCTGGCTCGCGTCCTGGGCGCGGAACAATAGCGTCCATCCCTCGGAGACCCACCCGTTGCCTTGCTCGAAAAAAGAACTTGCTAGCTAGAAGCGTCTCGCAGAGGGCCGTCAACACGCGCTTGCCCTGGATCTCTGCACGTATTTGACACGGCGATTTGTCATGGCCCATGTGGAGCTGTGTGGATGACCCGTCCGGCGCTGGCATTGGAAACCGCGCCCCCCCGTCCTTGTTCTTCAGCGCGCCGAGCGCCTGCTGGACACGCCGAGCGGCGATGCCAGCAGCTCGGGTGAGCTGGGCCACGAAGAGCTTCGACTCGGATCCCTTTCAATGCGGCTTGTGCCGACGAGGTCGTCGTCCTTGAGCCCAAACGTCGTGCGATTGCGCGGCGGCTTCCCGGGTGACGTGGGTCGCTGCTGCGCCCTTGAGGAGGGTTGGGTCGACTTCTCTGTTGAAGTTCCTGTCTGCCGGCTTGGGAGGTTGCGGGCGCGGTTGGCGATGGCCAAGCCCGTGCGGGGCTGCTCCATCTATTGCTGGAGGTCGCTGAGCTGCTTGTCGTGGTCTTCGAGCTTGCTATCTTGCTCGCTGAGCGTGGTGCTGAATTTGTCCAGCTGGCTTCGGATACGCTTCTCGAGGTCATCGAGCTCGGGCTTGACTCGCGTTAGTGAGGCTGCCGCTGCTTTGCCAGGCGAGGCGTCGCAGTTCTTTGTCGATGGGGGCGACGGCTGACTGTGTGGCGGCTGCTACTGTGCTGGGGAAGGCCAGCTCGCACCAATGCCTGAACGAATTTTTGATCTCGATGCGTACGAGTTCCCGGACATGCTCGTCGTGCCAGTTCTCCTGCTCGACGTCCTCATGCGCACCAGCGTCGCTCCCTCCACCTCTGCCAGAACGGGATCTGACCTCGTCATCATCACCGCCACGGACAGCGCCAGAGCTGGGATCGTCAGCCAGATACTTCTTCTTCTTGGGGCCCATGATGTTCTTGGCCTTACGTGCACCATCTGGCATGTGCCCTTACCGTTAGGGCGGCAGCGGCTCTGGTGAGAGTGCCGACCACCGTCCCCGACAGGAGTGTACATGTATGGTAGCTGGTCGCGGACTAGCGGTATCCACTCTGTTCCCAAAGGAACAAAACATCTTGAACCTTGAGCCAAAACGGCTACGGAAGCAGGAGAAGGAGGAGAACGATGATGATGATGATGATGATGATGAGGAGGAGGAGGAGGAGGAGGAGGAGGAGGAGGAGAAGGAGTAGGAAAGATGAGGAGGAAGAAAACAACTGGGGCAAACCCAAGATGAATCAACGATGCTGCAATACACGCTCCCGTTTCAAGTCCTCTCCTGGTAAGTCCATGGATGCACCCCACCAGCCCTCTGGGCGAAGGCGGCTTTGCCCGTTTCCTCTTCCAACCTGGACATCTGACGTTGCATTTTTTTCGCAGCGTGGTCTGGAGCCTCTCGCGGGGACGGGCTCCTCATCCGGAGCAGCATTTTTACAGTCCCGGGGCCCAGCAGGTGCGCCGGGAGGCCGCCAAGTGCCAGAACCCGTCCGTCGTGACTTGTCACGCCGCGAGGACGTCAGGGAACCCCGCCCTTCTCCTCCGGGGAGGGGGTTCCCCTGCCCTTCCCCCTCCCCTGGGTCTGGACGGAGCGGGCCGCGATGGGGTGTCAGAGGGTTTGTCTTGGTCCAGGATGGATTCAGGTAGCCCAAGATGGTCTCCAAGATGTCACAATCTGGCTTCTAGCATGCAATCCAGGGAGGCCCCGAAACCGCCACAATGCGGCTCCAAGTCGCCTCGGAATCTCGCAAACATACCCCCGAGAGGAAAAACGAATTCCCAAACACCTATTTTCGCTGATTCGTGCCTTTTTGCTCTTTCGCTTGCGATGGGCCTTTGAAGCCTCAAGCTGGCTAACATTGCTCAAGGGGGCAGCAAGAGGGGTCCATATAGGCTCCACAAGAATTCCAAAAGTTCCCCTCAAAGGCTCCAACCAACAATTTGAAGGTCCGAATGGGGGACCGTAATTAGCACCTGACCTTCGCCCAAATCTTAAACCACTGAAAACTTACAGATGTTAGATGTTCAAACACTTTGGCATCTCGAGGGCATCCTTGGGAGGCTTGGAAGCTAAGATGACTCCAAGGTGGCCCTGGACGCCTTCAGATGGCCTGGTGCGGCTCGAATATAATGCAATCTTATTTCAAGTGTTTCTGTATGGCTTCCAACCTCCCTCCAGGAGGCTGCAAAACGGTCCAAAGACTGCTCCACTTGGAATTGGAGCGCCTCCCCCCAAGGATACCCCCAGAGTGGCCAACAACATGCCTCCAGGCTCGCCCAAGAGAACCCCCAAAAGGGCCCAGACGAGCTCGAAAACGGCCCGATAGCGCCCGAAAGCACTCCAAGAGCGTTTCAAGAGGGCCCTGATACTTTCTTACCAATAAGTGTCTCCCTCTCTTCGCCCGATGGCCTCCAACATGGCTCAAAGAGGGCCGACCACGCCCCGAATGGCCCCAATATCGACGATATATCTCCCAAAAGGGCCACGCGAAAGCTGCAATATGGTTCCAAGATGCTCCCAACGATTTCGAAGTTTACCATTAATTTTTTTGCTTCACAATGTTCTTACCTACGCTGTTTCTCTTGACAAATCGCTCGGGCTTCGTTTCTAAACTTGGTTATGCGACTCGTGAAGTTTTTACCTTTGCACAATTCACCACGCAATGCTTGCACTTAGAGGTTCGTACTTCTCCTCTAAGGAACTGGGCCGCGTTTTCGGTCTGGCGGCTATGTGGTCGCCGTCGCCACCCCGTCGCCACCTAATCGTCTCCTCGTCGCCGCCGCTGGATTGCACTGGGCAAATTGCACGGAATAGACGCGCCTGCGGTGCGCTTTTAGATCGCTCAGGACATATATTACGCCGCGTATATTATCCCTTCTAAGTGGGTGATCGTGTCCCCCACCCCGAAAATTTCAGGACCTCGTTCCGTATTGAAGGATGCATTTAATTCTGCCCCATCGCCCATCCCAGTATGAACTCGTAATGTCCAAGCTGATCGTGTATCCCTTGCCCTCATCTTTTGCCAACAAACAAGGTGCGCGTACAACCGTTTATCACAATTCAGCAGTTGTTTGTTCAAACATCCTTTGCAACAAAGGGAGGGAGGAAACGCGCACGCGCGAGTCGTCGCGCACGCATGCCGATAGTTTCCAAAAACCATAAGACTCGTACGGCTTGTAAAATCGAGGGTACCAAAAACATATGTACAACACGTGGTTTTGCGACACAACCTTTCAACCACAAATCTTGCGCTCGCGCTCTTGCAGGCGTCCCCCAACATAACCACAAGCTTTCCCACATTCTTATAACATGTTATCGGGCGGGCTTCTCGCGAGCGCATCGCGCATGTCGAAATCGCTCGAACGCTCTTGCGAGCGTGCTGTCGCAAGGACACTTTGCAAACAAAACAACGAAGTGCACGCGCGCGCGCGTCGTCGCGCGCGCATGCGGACATACTTCACAAACCTTGGGTTTCGTATGAGTTTCAGCATCGAATGCCCCGAATACACCAAACATGCCCGCGCTCGTGCTTCTGCGAATTCCTGAAACATCCCTGAGTTTTCAAACTTTCATTCCGCTCGGCCAGTCGTGCCTCTCGCGCCGCATGTCGAAATCATTCGAACGCCCTTGCGCGCGTGATGGGGGGGCACGATTCGTGTCAAATAGCGCCATGCGGCCACTTCTGCGCGTCGGCCCCGCGCGCATGTCGAACTCCTTCCAAAACCTTCATCAGCGACGCGAAGACGCCGTCATCGTCGTCTGCGTGATCAGCACCGGCACCGTCGCTGGCAGTGCCGTCGTCGTTGTCATCGTCGTTGCCAACATC